TATGAATCTGCCAGATAAAGGTAACTCCAAAACAAAGAGAAACATTTGTTGTTTTTTGGCACGTCTACATATTTTGTTCCTATTCCAGTCTTTCCAGGTGGCCCTGGCAGCTGGGGTCTTGATGGAGAAAACAGGGAGCCGGTTTCCTATGTGCCAGCTTCCACTGGAGGGGTGATCATGCCCGCTGTCCCACCCAGATCCTTCCCACAAGGTATTCATCTCAATTTCTATTCATTTAATGTAATTGCCCCAACATCAAACCAATGCTTACAAAGGTTGTGGGCTAAGACTAAAGCCTGCTTGCAAAATTGAAGTTGGTCAATATGAGAAAAAAATGTATCTTATTTTATTTGATAGATTGAGAATTATTCATTTTCTTTTATTTCAGTAAGCATATTCTCCATTGTTTTGTAATTCTTCATGTATCTTTATGTTCGCAGGACATTTCATGATGCACTGTGATGCATTTCACCACCAGAACAGTGACCCTCCTCCCACTCTGCCCGTTAGATCTCTCAGAAAGGTATCACGCTAAGAGATTTTGGATTTTAGTCATTCTGTACATGTGATATAAAGTTTTGATTAGTCTTATTCATTCAGTATTTCTGCATGATTAACATAAAACATATTTGAACAGTCATATGGGCTTCAGCTCTCAAATCTTTCCACACATTAACTTCCTACTTCAAACTCTGCTTGAATGAATGTTTCTGTCAAACAGTGCTGTTTGAAACTTGCCACTGACTTCAGTTTATTCTGTCTCTTCAGTCCCCCCTGCACCCAATCCCTGGCTCCCCCACCAGTCCTCAGTCAGCTCTGGGTGGCAGCAACTCAACTCTGTCAGGCAGCGCCAGTAGTGGCGTTTCTTCTTTGAGTGAAAGTAACTTTGGAGGTCAGTATCCTGACCCCGGGCCTATCAGGAATGATGCTTTGGAGCCTCTTCCTAGTCACCTGTGGTCACCCCCGGATGAGTACCTCGCTTCTCCCTACCTACACATCCACTACGGCGGAACAGAAATCGATTCCATGGACCAAGACCGCCCTTTCCACTACCGCAGCCCTGTTTCACACCCGCACACTCACGCTCACCCTCATGCTCACGCCCACCCTGGACTGGAGAGCCATTTGCATGGGCCTCCACCCCACCACCATCCTCCTACTCACGGCCCCCATCACATTCCTTACCGACGGCCACAGCCCCCAGCAGTGCCACCCAAACCATACCTGAGAGAGGGCTGCATCCCCGAGGAGGAGCTGCAACCTCAGCCCATCCCGCTGCCCCGCAGGATCTTCCACTCCCCTCACGGTCACAGGGACGACCAGGGGAAACACCCCTGGGAGCAGTGCATCAGTGAGGAGCACGAGGAGGCTCAGTGATGACGAGGCCCCGGCTAAATTGAAGTTAGAGCTAGCTTGTCCTTCATTTGCACTGAGTTAACAGAGCAGCTACAGAAAGAGTTTAACATGAAAAATAACGTGTTTTCAGCCGGTCCGGGTTGCTGTGCATTTTAATGTCAGTGCATGTGAAGGAAACAAACAAGGGAGTGAATGGCCGCACCGCTACAGGCAGACCTGCTGTGACTGCAACACGTGGCCTCTCAAATCCCATCGCCAGAAAAACATCTGCTGAACACTGAGATGGAATCACTTTGTTAAAAAATTGATATTGATTGTACACAACTGTACAACTTGTCCGTGAGCATGTTTTTTTCATTTCGAGAATAATATGGCAAGAGCCAACATGATCCCAGGTGCAGTATCAGCACTGAACTCCCTCAAGTTTGCTCTGCGTCATTCTCACAGCAAAGAAACTGTAGGTGACTATTCATAGTGAAGTGACTTCTCTGCTTTAAATGCTTCATATATATATATATATATATATCTATATATAAATATATATATATATATATATATATGGATATATATATAGATATATATGTATAAATATTTTTTTAAATACATTTATTACATTATAGCGTTTTCAAAGGCATATGCCCACTATGTTTTTCAGAAACACTGTTAAGTGCTCCTTAATAGTGAATCATATCAAGTAGCGCACTGCAATATGTGTTGCTGCCGGGATGTCGTGAACTGCAGGTTGAAGGTTGAACTTGCATCTATTCTCTTGGCCAGTGCTTCAAGGGGACATGAACAGTTACCGATTATTTCCCATCCGTACCATGCGTATGGACACCTACGTGAATGTATTCAGATGATATGTTCTACTCGTGCTGCATAAGCTGCAATCCCAGTTTTCGTTTAAGTGCTTTCAGTTCAATCTGTAGAAAAAAAGTCTCTATTTTTGTCTTCTATGTGGCAAAGATATCTGAAGGGGAATGAAAGCTTGTGGTAAACCGGGACAGTGACGGACACGTGTCACACCTGTCAGCTTTCGTGTTCATGGTGACGGAAGAGTGCAGAAGCCAGCTCACACCTCCACCCACTGCTGGACTCTCAGACTACTAACACCACTCCACACATCTTTCTCCTTTTCGGTGAGGCTGTTGGGCCATGCTAAGGAGTGATGGCTGAACCTGGACTGATGATTTGGTCATGGAGCCCACACGGACTGTGTTGGAATCGCCTACCTGCCTTAAGTGCACTCACAAGCGCAGTTTGACCTCTCACCTGGATAGTGTGGAGCTCATTTAGCGACAGCAATGTTCACTCGGTTCACTCCATGAAGGAAAAAAAAGATATCTACCTAGTGATGTTTTTGTATGGTTTCATCCTGCTTTTGGTTTCAGATTGATGTTTGTTTTGTAGCTTTATTATCTCTTATCCTGCCTGCAGCTCTTTCTCAATCACCTTCTGTTTGAAAACTGATGACGTGTTTCGGGAGAACGCTGAAGGGCAGACCGACAGAGAGGTTTCCTTTTCTTGAGGAGCTGGAAAACAGCGCTGCTTATCGTCCTGTTGTTGGTTGGAAGGATATAGCTAATATTTTAACAATTACTTGTTTTCCTGGTTGTTTTTTGCAGGTGGACGCTTTGTGTTACTGTACATCAAGTTGTCAACAGACTAGACAAGATCTATTTTTGTATGTGAGATCATCAGTTGTGTGAGCATATACCAGATACAGACAGAGGGCCCAGGCACATAGGCTGCTGTACTTTGTATGAAGATGAGGTTACTAAATATATTTGTGAGTATCTGTTGTGAGCTTGATAGCATAGAGGACAACTGGCGACTGAAGTGATACTCAGATTATAGGTACAGTAGAATTTTTCAATGTAAATTCTGTTATTGTACATACAGCAGTATTGTGAAATATTTTTGAGAAATTATTGCAGAAGCCCTAAACAAGGATTATTGTTGTTTTGTGTATATACATGTACTCCAGAGATCAATGTAATTGATAAATATCTATAATCAGTGTTTGGAAAATGGACAAATACATTAGACTGTGGCTGTCTCCACCATTCTTCTCATATAAATACTTTATACACTTTTCAATGTGCTTTCCTGTACATATGGTGTTAGCATGATCAAAAAGTGTTTGGTTGTATAAGTGGTTTTCCTACTCCCATAACTGCTGTGGTATGGAATTCATTAACAATGCCAAACATTAAAGACAATCTTTTATCAGCTCTAACTCCTCTTCACCTTCTCTGTGAGTGCAGTTTTTGATGTGGACATTAGAGTGCACTGTTTGTCACTGAATGATGATCAACTGCTGACTCCCGAATGGTTAGAATGCAGATACAGGAGCTGTTTTCTTTTCTGCAAGACTCAATGTGTGTCTTTGTGTGTGTGTGTGTGTGTGTGTGTGTGTGTTTGCAAGATAGCAGAAGGACACAACCCATGGGTCCACTAAAGATAAAACGAAATAAAAAACACAGTTAAATTTCCCTGATCGCAGCACCAAAGTTTCACTATTTAACCAATACCTTTATTTGGCATCCACATAAGATATTGTTTTGTCCCTTTCTTTATTTGTAGTAATAAAAGTAATATCCACCCCATACTAAATTCATACACATTTTAGATACCAGGAATGTGGAACTACTTCAAAGTCAGTCCTCATTCTCTCAGTGAGAAGTGATGCCTTACCCTCTGAGACCCCACATATGCTGTTTACTACTATCAGGGGTTCTTCAAAGATTGCAAGAATTATCAGACTGCAGCTGAGAGGCTGCAGTGGCCTTGAGGAACAAAACACCACAGTAAAATCAAAAACAACAAATCAGAGGGAAAAAAATATTCACAGAGCGCAGCAAATCAGGAAACACAGACTTTGACAAATCGGCTATTAAGAAAACATTAAATGCTCTTTTGTGACATGCTGTTTTCTTATAAAGATGTGATTTATTTAGCGAACGTGATTTGAATTTTATTTAAATTTCATTATTTCTGTTTGTTGGTATGGGACATTTTTACTCTATAATTGAGGATAGATAGATAGATAGATAGATAGATAGATAGATAGATAGAGAAAAAACTGATAAGCTAGCTTAAAGGGATTCAAACTGCATCTCCTGAGGATGATGATGCCACAGCATAGGAAGCTGTTTTATGTTTACAGCACTGCCGTGGATCCCTGAGTTTTCCTCATGCTCTTCTTTTTTCTATTTCTCTTCTCATCACTCCTTTGCCATTGAGTTTCACTGTATTTCATCCTGGGCCCACAGAGACTGTACTCGCTGCACAAAGCAGCCAGTGATTTTGTATCAGTCTTTGTACGTTCACATTTACACACATGACATGAAGGCGGAGAACTTACCTCGGTAGGGGTTGCATCATCTAATTCTGCAGTTATTGTTCTGGGCACAAGAGCCCAGTGATGAAAAGCTTTCCTTATAAATTCTGCCAACAATGACAAGCTGTTAGGGAGGAAGCAAAAATAATCTGAATCTTTTACCCCAATCCTTCTATGAAATACAGTATGTGTTCCTGTTCTGGTATGTTTTTTTTTACCCTCAAATATTTGCAAAAAAACACAATTATGAGACAGATAGATCTGCCAGGAACCAAAGACTTTTAATAAATGAAACATTACATACTAATAAATAAAGATTAACCAAGTTGCAGGTTCAAAACAAAATCCAAAAAAACAGACATAACACAGAAAGTAAAGTACAGTGATATCGCACAGAATATTAAAAAAAGGAAAAAAAACAAACAAAAAAATAGACACCCCTCGGACATTTACAAATTCTTTTTTAAAAACTTCAAGAGGCAAACAGACATAGTATAAAAGCATCATACAGTAGAGCATTTGTCATCCGAGTACAATTTACAAATTTATTGAAGGATAAATATGCAGCTGATTTCTTACATGAGACGCACATGTAAAAACGGTTTAACACGTATTTCTCAGGTGAGACTCCAGGGCCTTTTTATTTTTAAATGATCAAGAACAGTGATGAGGCGGTGATGAAAGAGGTCCATCAATCATAGGAAACTCACAAATTATCTATAATTGTAAATAACTTTAAATGGCGTCATCCGTTGGTCTCTGTTGATGCATCTTAGAATAAAAGTCAGGAGCATCTCTTCTGGCGAATATGGCTACATCAGGCGTTTGTGAAAGAACACTGCAGTTGTCCCTCAGACATATAACATCAGTAGGGAGCGAACTTCTGTCTCTCCGGCTTTTTGATGCAGTTGGCTGAGGAGATTTTGGCGGTGTAGGCGGCCAGAGAGGTGTGGGAGGGGGCGGCGGTGACGGCCACGGCGGGGGCGGGGCTGGACAGAGTCAGAAAGGGGACGGACTTCACCCCCAGCAGCCCGGACAGCGGCATGGCACCGTAAGGGTTGCCCAGCATATGAGCTGGGGTCAGCGCGCCCACGGCGGCCAGGGTGGGAGTGGGGGAGGCGGCGGGGGATGCGGGCTGGGTGAAGGCCATGTTGAGGTCGACCGGAGATCCCATGGAGGCGGCCTGGGCCGTGGATTTAGCCGTCTCTAAGCTGATAGGACAGGGGGAGGCAGGGAGACATAAGCAGTGGTCAGGGAACTACAGGATTATATTGTTGCTGCAACATTGGGAGGAAAATCTTTCAACAGAAACTCCACATTTACTTCCTGATTGTAATTTGTCTATAATAGAGGCAGTTGGTTGTTTTTTGTTCCAGTGTGCTTCATTTCTGTTTTAGGAAATTTGTCCGATCTGCATATGAAGATTTTAAGACCACACAAACCTAAATATCATGCTGTATCTCCTGTTGTTGTGAGGGTGTTATAAAAGCCTACTTAAACTTCTGTTGTGAGCAATTTCAAAGGGTAAAGTTATGTTCAGACCTTGGTGAGGTTATATCTGAGGCCCTTACTGTTTTCAAAATTCTTTCCATTTAAGTCCATCTTAGTAAACATGCATTGTTTGTCAAGTTATTAGAGCTTTCATAAGTCCCTATCTTATTATCTTATTGTCTACAAGACAACACATCTTTATCAACACCAAGGTGCATCAAAACAAGAGCAAGTGACATTAAGATAAGATAAACAACAACTTGTTTTTGAAGAAATTGATTTTAAAATGGAACTTTCTCTGACCTTAGAAGAAAGGGCATGATGGTATAGGGAGAAAATATAGTTTTAAAATCTTGACTTAGTTTGTACTCTGCTATGAAATACAGTACAGCATTGCCTTTCCTCATTCCCTCGAGTAAAATTACAAACAGCCCAATTCCACATGTCATTATGACATGAAAGTGTGACCTCTGACCCTTTTACACTAATGTATTTCTCCACTCCTGCAATGACTCATTGGATGGATGTCCATGTAACTGGACCTTACCAGGAGGTAATGAGGTACTGGGCCAAGTTGATGCTGACCGGTGTTCCTGTGATGGTGACATGGCGGTCGCTTGTCCCGTCCAGCTGGCTGCCAATCTTGATCTGAGCACCTGACACTTGCCGGATCTCGTTGATCTTAGAGCCCTGACGGCCGATGATTGAGCCAATCAGCTGCAGAGGAACGGAGGTGAGAAATCAGTCAGAATAACGATGTAGACACGCTCAGTTTGATGGGTTTTCACTACTTCTCTGTCATTATCAGATCTGATATGCTGATGAAAGGGATTCTGGCATAAAGAGTTCAGACAAAAAAAGAAAAAGAAAACTGTACTGCTGCTTAGCTGACCAAATGCAGACCACTTCAAATATTGCAATTACATTGCTTGTCTTCAGAGGCCTGGCCATCCATCATGGATGTCAAACACACCTTCTTTTACCCTGGAGTCTCCCTTAATTGCAGCTGTGTCCACACCGGTAAAAGAGACGAGAGAAGGCACATTTGCCTCTCATTAATCTAAGTAGCTAAAAGGTTATTGATTCCTCAGAGTGGTGATGACTTCCCAAAACATGCCAGCTAGATGCATCTCTGCACTAATGGAAAACATAATGGAAAAATAACCGAAATACATAATATACAGTCTGACCAACTTGAGTGCTCTCTCTGCTGAAAGCAGATTAGACAACGATATGACTTTTATTGCATTTCAAAATACATTATCACTCTTGTTCTGCTTATGTTTCCCAAACTGGACCCCTTCCTATTAATGACAATGGATTTTCTGGAGAAAAAAAAAACACAGCTAACAGCTGCCTATCAGCTCATATGCGGGGTGTCAGGGGTTTGAGCGACAAGACTATGCTGCCAAATATATAGTGAGCACGCCAGACGGTGATAAAAGACCTGTTGTCCCTGAGTGTGCTGGAGGTTTAGCAGCCGCTGACGTGCACTGACCAACAGAACCACACACGCACACACACACACACACACAAAAGCAAAGTTTGTGCTGTCCTTGTCCTCGCTGCTTTTCACATTCCTTTCCTCAGAAGTAAGCAGCCTGGTCAACAATGTCCGATCGGCTGCCACAACCTGACCGGTCTGTGTGGCTATTATTGGCTCAGCAGCTTATTTGGGGGTGGGGGGGGGGGGGGGGGATGGGGGAGAACAGAGAACAGCCAGCCTAAAGAGTAACTCTGGAGACAATGGTGGCTGCGGCCCTCATATCACTGATAACGTCTCTCCCCCACAGGGAGCAGAAATCTCTAGCAGCTGTCAATAGATACCAGTCAATGGTTTGTCCACTTTGGTGTGAGTGACCTCAGGCTTTTGCCATTTTTGTATGAACAACCTTAAAAGAATTGGAAAAAGCTGAGTAAGCCGGAGCTAAATATAAAAACGGGACAATTCACAGATGATCGGTTTCCCCTAAGTGCTTATTAGCAGCAGTTTTGCACAGCGCTCCTAGTCCTCCACTAACACGTGGTGTAAATATTGTTGAGTTCCTGCTGAGGTGGTCATTTGAAAGGACATCCGAGGAGGGATGGGATAGCGAAGGGGGGCGACCATTTTTCTTCCGGCCAAACCTTCTTCTCTTCTTGCGCAGAGGCGCAGCACAGTGCTGACTGGGGAGAAAGCAGCATCTGAAGGCATCCGTGTGCGTGCGCACGCCTCCTTGTGCGCCGGGCGTGTGAGCACAGAGCGGGATTGTGTGGTCTGGGGGGGGGGGGGGGGGGGGGGGGGGGGGCCGGAGGGCTGAGGAGCCTCAGTCACGGCTGTAAGTCCCCTCTTCTGGAACAATGGCTGGAACTCACAGCTGTCCCTGTCATGCACGACGCTGGGCTCCCTCTGATGCATTGTGCTGCTCGCAGTGTGGGGGTTTACGGGGAGGGGGTGGCTTCAGGCATTTCTAGACTTGTTTAAGGCATCTGGCTCTATCCTACACGTTGTAGTGAGACCTAAAGTAATGCGTCCAGTTTTAGTTTGATCCTTGTTCAAATGCTGCAACAGTCAGCAAAGTGAAAATAACATCTATTTCTTCTTTTTCACTGCCCCCCAAAAAATCAACCATAGGATTATTTTGCATTACTTTGCTATAAATACTAGTGCTCATTATTTGAAAATGATCCAAAACATGATCACTATCTAATCCTGTTTAAATTGAGCATTCTAAATAACAGAATGCCCTCTACGACATTTAAACACCAGCTTTATCCTTTAAGCTTTTCAGCAACATTTCAGTCTTGTGAATGATTCCGGGTATGTGAGTTGAAGATTAAATTATAAATTATGAATGGCTTCATTAAAATTTTTAGTTTCACTTATTTTTTCAGACTGCGCTGCCATGAGCAGCGAGGCAGACGTCAGTCTAAGACCAAACCAGCCAGACTTGATGATGGACTTATTTCATTATGATTTCTGCTCTCAGATCTGAGTCTGTTCATCAAACCCTGGCGGAGGCAAAGTAAAGCGAGAGAGAGTCTTTCTCTGTTTTCTTATCGGCTGTTTTGACAGCAGACAGATTCTAAGTAGGTCAGGGAACATGAGAGGATTTACTGATCACTCATGGGAGCCACTCTAAGACATTATAACTGCAGCAAACACAATACTGCCAAAGGATCCATATCAGTGCAAAATCCCTCTAACTTTGGTTTGTCAGAGGTTAGAATAATGAAGATAATTAGTAAGTTGCCGCCATGCCTTTCATCTCTTTTGAAGTCACACAGCAATGCTAGTCACCAACTGCTGAGCTGGGTACATGTGAGATAAAGAGCGGATAGGAAAATACTGGGACTAAAAATGCAAATCCCCAGTGTTAATCATAGGCTTTTTTCCTTACATCATTGGAAATAAGCAGCTCCTGAGATGTCTGAGAGTTTGAGTCCATCCCTATTGAAAGAGAAAATACAAACATCAACTGAACAAAAAATTGACATATCAGACATTTTAAATATTCATTCTGCTCCTTTAGTTAGCTCAGCCGTACAAACCACTTCTGACATGCTGGAAAAACCATTTCAGCAGAAAACTGCCAGATATAGAAAAGGAGTTCATTTCCATTTTAATGGGCTGATGTTTAACATAGCATTCATTCAGCACTTGTTCCCAGTTCTCTGACTCTGCAGAACACATCACGGTATATAATAGTATTTCAGACTGGGAGGTATGATGCCTCCCACCTCACTGACAAAAGCTCATAATCAGCACAGCTAATAACAGTGAGCCTTTAGTGCTCACACCTGTGGGCATCTTAAAAACCCATGAATGGGTACAGAAGGGGGAAAAAATGCAGGCGTTGACTTTTCAAGCAAGTACAGTGGAGTATAACTCAAGAAATGCAAGTGTAATATAACAGCATTCATACCAGGAATGATGGTAGAGGCAGGCTGGGCCATGGGACTCAGGCCTTGCTGCACAGACAGCTGGTGCAGTTTGGCCAGCTGAAACCAAACAGAGGAAGAACAGAGTCTGTGACACATGAAAACATAAACTTGTCGTAATATGTTCAATTCTGATATTTCAACAGTCATACCTCTGAGTGTGGAATGCCATATTGGTTTTGCAAAGTGTAGGCCTGAAAGAAAGGATGCTGCATTAGGCAAATTGCACCAATAAAAATGTCACACCCACTGGCAATAAATCTACAGTTCCCTAATGAAAGTGCCTCACTATCAATAGAAGTCCATTTTTCCAAATAACAGAAATGTCATTAGTAACATTCTCACCCCTGTAGCTGGTTTAAACTGCATTAGAAATATCCATTCCTGATGTCTTGATCCAAACAGCATCGGTAGTTCATCTGCACTTTGTTTGTGACTAGCATTAAGAATGGTTTGTAAATCATCCAGTAAAAACATCTCTGCCTGCTGTGACCTTGTTAATCTGAAGAACTTGTTAACATTAATAAGGACTGTCATTATCATTAACGTTTAAAACTAACAATGTATTTTCCCATAACCCCAATTAACAGTGACCGATAGCCAAGTTAAAAAGCAAACTTGTAGAAAGTGTATAAAATTTTACTTGGTTTAGCTCTTGCATGATAAAAAGAAAGATTAACACCATCATCCACTCGTTCAGATTACATTCACATTTACATTTACATTCACATTTATTGCAGTTTCACAAAATGCACAATGAGGCATTTTTTCCTTTGTGACAGAAAACCTCTGCCCGCAGTGTATTTCAGTCCTTGAAAATGAAGTCATTTTACATTTTATGGGCATACGAATTGTGTGTGTGATATATTTATGCAATGCAAAGCCATCATACATGCTCATAGGATTATGTGATCTTGACACAAAGATGTGAGCAGAAAGCAATATTGTGGATCAGGATCTTTTAATGATCATTCTGCACGCTGTGAACCAACGTAGTGGCCTTATTTTCTGGTGCAAGCCTTTGTTTAAACAGTACTTTGTCATGAATAATGTCTGGCCATGAAAGAAAAGTATATGCTTTATCTTTATTCAGAATACTGAGAATGCTCTGAACTCTGTGGTACTGCTAAATTAATTGAATTGTTTTGAATATATAATCATATGATATACTGATGCCCTGGTTCAGCAAAGTGGATATATAAAAACTAAGTAGCAATAGCAATATAAATCTATCTATCTATCTATCTATCTATCTATCTATCTATCTATCTATCTA